CAAAAATTTCATAGGAACTTAAGGAAAAATTTCTTGACAGTGAGGGTGACAGAGCACTGGAACAGGCTGCCCAGAGAGGTTGTGGAGTCTCCTTCTCTGGAGATCTTCAAAACCCGCTTGGATGCAGTCCTGTGCCACGTGCTCTAGGTGTCCCTGCGTATGCAGGGGGGTTGGACTAGATGATCTCTAGAGGTCCCTTCCAACCCTAAGCATTCTATGATTCTATGATTCTATGATTCTATGACCCTGTGAGGCTCAATCTCCACTTCAAAATACCTATTTCTTGCTGCCAAGAAGCATGGAAATGTGGCCCAAGGGTGGCCTGATGTTTGGCAAGGGGACAGCAAAGGAGAGCACTGCCTGGCGCGCTGCAGGCTGCATGCTTGTGGCTGGAGCAAGGGATGCTGCCCTCTCCTGCTCCCACACAGAAATGCTGCTGGGTGTTCCGGGCCAGACAGCCCTGCCCTGGATCCATGAGGTGCTTTTCTTGCCCAGATCCTGATCCTGAGTCAGGCTGGGCATAGGGGTTTCCTTCACACATCCCCTTTTTAGTCTTCCCTGGTTTGCAGGCCCTGCTGAGCACCCTCCTTGCAGAGGGTACAATTTGCTGGTGGAGTGAGGGTTGTGCAAGAAGGGCTGGCATTGCGTTATTGGCATCTCCTGTGGCTCATGCATAAGCATAAACCTTGAAGGTCTGGTTGGGGGGATGCCAGGTCCCTCCCCAGCCATGCCTGGTGATCAGCATCATCCCAGAGCAGAAGACCAAGTGTTATTTAGCTGCTTTCCCTCCCATATGTCCCATATTACTGTTGCTCCAGGCTGGGGAAAGCTTGTGACCTGGAGGCTGCTGTGAGCAACCCAAAGAGGAAAGTACAGAGCTGAGCAGGATGCAGCCTGAGAGAGCGAAGTGGGGTGCTAACAGCCCTGTGAAAAGCCTGGGCTCAACGTATCCATCATGAGAGCCTGTAGCCTCTGCTGGAGGAGCAAGGACAGGTCCCAGAAATGTGTTTGGTGGCAGGGAAGCTGAGCTGCTGGTCTCCCCCAGTCCCACTCTCTGCCCCAGCTTCTTCTCTGCACACTGACTGCAGGCATCAGACACCCTCCGAGCCACTGCTGCTGGCATAACGCTTGTGTCCCTCCTTGTCCCTCAGCTCCAGTGATATGCAGACCTATGAAGGGCACAGGGGAGGTGGGATGCCTTTGAGGTATTCCAGTCCTTCCACCCAGACTCAACCCCTCCACAGCCTGCTCACCGCTGGCAGTTTGCCTGCTGGCACTGGTCACAATGGTCACCTGCAAACACTGGACAGACCTTGTCCTGCTGTACTGTCTCACACATGGGCACTGCCAGCTCAGACCCACATGCCAGGCAAGGCTGGAGGCTCAGTGTCCTTGTATCCAAGCCAGCATCTGCCCCAGCACCAGCCCCTCCACATCTCCCCTGCTCCTTGCCCAGGCTCTCTAACTTGGGTCCCCCACTCTACCCATCACCCTCCAGTTGCACCCGCTTCCCAGCAGCCTGGACCACCTGGAAAGGTCTGAGCCGTGCGTGCCCAGAAGCAGCTTTGGTGGCAAGTCGTGGAAAGTCGCTGCCGGACAGCATCTCCCTGGATGTGCCCTGCTGCTGGCGGTGCCTGGAAGCTGTGGAGGACTGCGTCGCTGCTGTTCAAGCTGATTTCCAGGATGCTTCCGCAAGCAGGTGAAGCCTGGGGCTCCTCAGCCTCACACAGAGGGTTTCTTCTGCTGGTTAATGCAGTAAATGCTTGCAGGACGGCAGGCAGGGAGGGAGGGCTTAGATTTCGGAGGGCTTTGTTATCTGGGTGCTTGTAACCCAATCGCACGGGCTTGGCTTCCCAGCGGCAGATCCGATAGCACACTTGTCCCTGAAAAGTGAGCCTCTTCCCATTGCCAGTCACAGCAGCACGGACCTGAGCTGCTCACAGCTCAGGCCCCTCTTGCTCTTTGTGGGACCACCAGAGTGCCCTGGGACAGTGCAGCCTTTCTGTCACCTCACCTGAGACTCTGGAGGGAGAAGAACACCTCAGGACAGGTAAGGACAGGGGATAGGGAAGGGGGTGGTGTCTGCATACACCAAAATGCTTGAGGTCATGGGTACAGAGGGAGCTGGGTCCTGCTGGGCTATAGGAGAGCATCTGAAAAACACTAGCAGGTACCAGTCTCCTTCTTCATGTGAGGTTGGACAATTCACCTCCAGCAGCTTGTGGGGCTGCCCCTCTGCTGCTGACAGCCACACTGTGGTGGCCTGTTGCAGCCTGGACAGCAGAAGAGCACAGCTGTGACACAGCCAGGCCCACCAGGAGCTGCTCCTCAGCCGAGATGGCCGACCCGCTCCCTTCTACCAGGGTTCGCAGGGGCCCAGGGCCCAAGCAGGCCTCCAGGCAGGTGGCCAAGATCTGCCCTGCAGCTGATCATCTGCATTTACTTCTGGGGGCAAGAAGGAGCATTTGACAGGGCTCCTGGCAGCGATGCGGGCAGCATGGGGGAAAATGCATCCTCCCATGGCTGTAGGGGAGACTCTTGGGCCCACTACAGTGGCAGGGTCCTGCTTTTACAGACAGGGGCAGACACGGGGCAGGGATGTGCTGGGCAGGGAACTTGCTCAGATGGACCCAGGAACCTGCCATGCCGTGCTGGTGTCTCTCTGCCACACTTTTGGGTGTATCCTTTTCCTCTCAGAGGTGGCCTCCATCCCCCCGGCCTTCTCCATGTCCAGATGCCCTCCCCAGCTGCAGGACTGATTGGCTCCTCTCACCTCCCTCCCCAGCATGTCCCAGGCTGGTGGCAACGTCTGTACCGAGGATACAAGGCCGGGCACCGAGGCCCACTCCCGCACCCCAAGCCGAGGCAGCCCCAGCAGCCACAGGATTGACTGCATCATCTGCTATTCTTCCTATGACCTGTGCAGCCGGCTGCCACGGCGGCTCTACTGTGGCCATACCTTCTGCCAGGCCTGCCTCAAGCGCCTCGATGCCATCGCCAATGAACAGCACTGGATCCCCTGCCCGCAGTGCCGCCAAAATACCCCCACCCCGCGTGGCGGAGTGGCAATGCTTGACTTGGACCTGGCTACTTTTCTTGCCATTAAGGCTGACAAGGAGCACCCCCGCGTGGCTGGCAGGCCTGAGCCTGACTTGGCCACCAAAGGGTCACGCAAAGAGAAGGTTGTCACTGAGCAGCCGTCGGGGCTGTGCCAAGAGCCAGTGCCCCAGGCACCATTCCCCCGAAGTGGCTC